TGACGGGTGAGGGAGAGGTCGGGGCATGTGTCTCGCGTGACCGATTTGCCGGAACGTGTGGGTTGTGCCGGATCGGTAAGAAGCGTCAGGCTCAGCGAGGAAATGAGCTCCTTGAGCTCTCTGCCCCGGGCCTTCTCGTAGTGGTAACCCCAGTAAGGGCTGGGGGCATTAAAGTCCCCGACAATCACCAGTGGTTGTCGGGCCGCTATACGCAGCGCCCGATGGAAGAGATGCGCAAACGAAGCCCTCGCAAGGCGAGGGGGACAGTACACAGTTTAAGATATGTATTGATGGTTGGCCCCTCCGCTGAGACAGCACTGATATCATGCAGTAGTCGTAAGGAAGATCCAGATCGAGGTCAATCTGTATCGCCGTGTAAGCTTTATGCACGAGGAGGCATGTGGTGGTGCCGCCTACTACAGGAGCAGTATCCAGAAAGGGAATGGAGCAGGGCCAGATTCTTGGAGCGCCAAGACGGCCGGCTGAGAGCCAAGTGAGCTGAGGAAAAGGGAAAGATGTGAACGCTTTTCGCCTGTTCCCGAAGCCTCCAGGGTTCCACTGTATGATCTCGAATTTAGACGCAATGTTTGAACGGGACGTACGATTGGTAGCCATCGTGACTGTCTTAGGTTTTATATTTGGTCCTCCATAGTCCCGCTCGGAATCCTCAGAGGCAGGGAGGGGCACGGAGGCCGGATTGTCCGACGGCGGGTGGTGGTAATAGCCACCTTACGACGACGCCGTGGAGCTGTACCCTCACTGCTCACCGAGCAGGAGCGGGAACGCGATGCCTTGGGTTGAAACTGGGTGATTGCCCAGGCTTGAATAGCCTGGGTAACCTCTACTACTATGCGTTGGACCGAGAAGCTGGTGAGGAGGTGATTAATCGAAGCTTCGACGCGCGTGAGGCGTTCCTCTACGCGCGGGGTGCGCTCTTCGCTAGGGAGAGTTTGGTTAGCGGGCAAGAGAACCTGAGGTGCCCCAAGGAGCCTCAAGAGCTTCTGGAGTAGATGTGGCACCGGTTCCGAGTGCTGGAGTACACATGGCTGCTTGAACCGGCGGTTTAATGGGAGTGGACTTAGCGCGAGGACTAAGCTTAGGACGTAGCTGGCGTAGCCGCCTGGACAGAGGAGGCAATACCGGATGGCCTTGCAGTACACTGTTGTTGTGGTTGAAGTCGCTTATTTAAGAGTTCGAGTTGTTTAGTTAAAAGAGAATTTTGCTTTTGAAGTGCCGCAACCTTGCTGGCGAAGGGCCGCAAGTTCGGGAGAAGGAGGATCGACAGAAGGGGGTGAGAGAGGCTTAGAAGCAGCTTTCCCTGCCCAACTGCTCACCTGAGGTACCGCCGCTGGTGCTTCGAGCGGTGGGAATGCTTGAGTGTCGGCGTGGAGTGGTGGAGCCGAATGATGCAGGTTGTGCTGCTGTCTGGCTGTGACGAACATGAGGTGGTCCCTCGAGGAGATGTTGAGGGCTGCTTGCGTTTCCGATATTTTCGATATTTTGCCGTGCAGCCACTGGTCCCAGTCTCATGGGCGCCGTGGCAGAGGAGGCACTTGGGGTGGCAGTCGTGGGCATTGAGACCTGCAGGTGCGGGGGTTCCACATTTGGCACACTGGGTTGGAGCGGGGTGAGGACACTGAGGTGGTCGATGACCGATGGTACCGCACTTGGTGCAAACAGGGACCGTTTTCTTGTAGGCGCGGATATACGTCGCCACGCAGTGGTAGAAGAGGAAGCGGGGTAACTTCGTGCCCTCGAAAGTCACCACCGCCGCCGCGGAATCTCCGAGTTTGCGGACCGCGAGGATAGTACCTCGAGGCCAATGCAGTTCTGACTTTATCTTCTCCGGGCTTTCAGCAGGGTTTATGTTGATGACGCCCTTGCATGTATCCCCTGGTGCCTTGGCGTGGCCCCGAACGGGCAGCTGCTGATCCCCCACTTGCAGCTGGAAGTCCCCGAGGAGTCGCTGTGCCATAGGCAAAATGGTGGTGCTACAGACCAAGATGTTTTGTTCCCAGATCGGCCACACTTGAATTTGCGTGGTAGTCCGGTCGCCGAGGTAGCTGCGGATGGCATCGCCCGCGCGATCGGCCGGGACGAATGTGCGTAGCTCGCAGGGAACGCGAGGTTTCACTACTCCGATGTAGTCGTCGCGAGAGAGGCGAGGAGCTTGACGCGGACGCCACTTGCGTTGCTTCGCTGGCTGCGAGGACGGAGCAGAGGTAGGCACACCACCGGAGGGATGGCGCGCCGGCGTTCCTTGCAAGGCTGGGGAATGGTCGCCCGCTGTGGCGTCTCGTTGTTGTTGAGACGCAGACTTCGATTTCGCTTGCTTGCGTGGCCACAGTCTCACCATGTCGTCGAGGTATTCATCTTCTGATGGCATAGTGTTTTACGGAGGATGAAATCTCCATGGACAGCGTTGGCTTGAGGTAGGATCATAGCCCGTAACCACGTTAGCGGCCGCCATCGCCGGGCTGAGAGCCCTTAGCGAGGCGGCGTTGTAGCCGGGAGTGAAGGACGTCCCTCAAGTTGTCAAAACTGGATCCACCTGGACGAAGGTGTTGTCTAGGCGAAGCGGAGAACTTGGCGGTGACGATAAATCCAAGTTTCAGGGGTACCAAGGTGGATGTCCGCAGAAATAGCAGGAAATCTACGGAGGCGATGTGGAGTGCGTCCGTCACCATCGAGCGCTCGCAGCGCCCCCCTCAAGTCTGACAGCACCTGCAGAATGAAGGAGTGGTCGGAGATTGTCGAAAGTTTTTCCACATCAAGTCCAACACACACCTTAGAGTCCCTTAGAGTCCACCTTAGAGTCCCCACCTTAGAGTCCCTTGTGCGCACAGATCAAGTAGGTGATGCTTACTTCTGAGCATAGCATCTTGAGTCGAAAGGCCGGGACGAAAACCTATCATCGAGTGCGAAAGACACCATTTTCCTCAACAATAACGCGTTAGCCTGTTTAAATGACATGCTGAGTGACTTTCCCCAAACCACGATGTTAGCGAAATTGGTCCGAGGTTTTGAGCGCTACGCTCTTGCCCGGTTGAGTACCGAGCCGGTATTTTTGCGAAGCCCTCTGCTCCGTCCAATCTGTGCCCCGTCGTTCAGTCACCTCGACTTTGAACCGTCATCATCTGGTGCAGGCTTCGTCGGAAGTCTTGATTTCCGGTTGGACACCGTCCGCCAATTCCTAGACCTTCAGTAAATTCCTCTGCCGACAGCACTTCCCCTTCTACTTTATAGCTGCAATGCCAGACGCGCGTCCCGCTACGTAGAGCTGCCAGACCTACTTTTTGGCCGTCCACGGGTCGTTTCTTTTTACTTTAGCCAAGTCTTCGAAACAAAACGACGCGATTACACGCGATCGACAAATCACGCATGGTAGCCACGCGTGGCCGTTCGTTGGATGGCTTTGGTATGTCATCGCTGAGGAGCGAATTCGGCTCGCATGCGAGTGCAAAATTTTGGACCTGTATAGTAGCGCCAGCAGCTACATGCTTCGACGGACGACAGCGGTCGCGACGAATCCGACGGCTCACCCCCATTGCCACCACCAGCCGCAAGCCTGAAGAATGCAGATAGGCAAATAATTTCGCATGTCGCAGCGATCGCATTGACAAGCTCGCGTGCTTCTACTGGAATCGAGCTACTCTGCAAACGCCACGCGCATGCGCCTCAGTTCCCAGCATAGGCCACGAAAGCAGCGCCGCTTTTCACGCTCTACTTCTTTGACCTTGAAGGCCGCATATAACAAACGAAAGTGAACAATAACATACATATTCAAAATTTAGGCCCTTACTTTGGTGCTCTTTAATTAATCTCAGCAAAGTGATAATGACATCATATTAGTGGTTCATGGTTCTTCGCTAAGGGCGCGAAATGCCGGTTTTAATTACTTTTGAACGGTGTTTTTAAAAATATAAGTCCAACTCAGATCTCGAAAAGCATGCTGTTACCTGCCACCATATTTCACGCTCTTTCCTTTTCACCGGAATCTAATAGCAGTTGTGGCCATTTGTGGGTCTTTCACATTGCTGCTAACGCAAACATTAAGGGGCTATGACGCACACCTTTGGATCATAATCCTTATTATGTGGATTAATCTTTGTGGACTGACAAACAACCTGAAAGAATTTTCAGCCGTTTCAGTCGAGTACCTAATTCATAATCCATTAACCCATTTACAATTATGAGCGGCATCATTGTAGAGAAACACTCGCGAGCCGTCGAGCCGTGTCGTAAGTTTCATGCTGTGTGGGTGCCCGCGTTTCGGTGAACGGTTTCGTTCCCTACTCACATGGGGGTCCGGGACCACACCAACTAGGTTTCACACTACGTGGGCGTGTACACTTCACAATGAAGAACAGCCCAGCATGATCGACACAGAGGAACAATGGGAAGCACTGCTGTTCCGCCAGGCTTTTGACGGTCAGCTTTGGCCTAACTAACCAGTCGTTGTTTATCATCTGCTCCGCATCGTTAACGTGATTATTATGAACTTTTCTTTTATGGTTACTTTCGCTTTTCGAAGCGTCTGTCCAGCTGGGAGGTCTTCTTGTAGCGGTAGACAGCGAGGAGCTACAAGTGCACAGCTCTGCACGTGCGCGGAAACGGGCGGCAGAGTGGCGGAAAGAAAATGGCTCGTCCTGCAAGAGATGGCGCTGCCTGTGCAGAGTTGCTCTTTCTCTCGTAGTTTCCTCACAGAACACCTGTTTCCACGCGTCGCGGCATTACTTGGCGTTGCATCATCCTTTCCTTCTCAAGCTTGGAGTTCGCTCGGCAGCGTTCTGAGGGGGAGAGGAAGCGCGCACTTGGCGCCTTTTGATGCTTGTTTATTGGTTGCGTCGGCGTCTGTCGCGTCAGATCGGCGCCTGCCGTTCGCACAGCCGTCAGAAATCGGAAGGCGCGCGCTTTCTCGAGCGCTCGTGTGTGCCACTTGCCCCGCCACTCGAGTGGCCACTCTTGACGAGAGTGTGTTTTTCTACGATCTCACCACCATGTCTGACCTTCGACGAGTGCACCGTTTCCGCGACCAGGCCGTCGCAGGCATCAACTGGCGACCAACCCGCTTTGTCGACGAGGTGCCCAGTCTGCGTGTGTGTTGCCTCTGCCGCATGATTCCCAAGACGGTACTGGCGCTTCCCTGCGGCCACCTCCTATGCCAGTCGTGCCTCGCAGCCAGCTCCCATGGAAGCGGTGGACGGTGTCCCTTGGATCGAGAGCCGTTCAAAGAGGCGGAATGTTCCACCTGTGATTTGGCTACGAGATCAGTGAACGCCTTGAAGGTGAGAAAATAATTCCGGTTATTATTTGGAAGAATTCTTTTGAATATGGGCGTGCACAGCCATGTGAAACTTGCTGTACCGTGTACGCGAGCTCGGGTAATTATTGCTTTACAGCCAACATTTATCACGGAACTTGTTTTAGGGGTGAATTTCCCGAAGGCACTGGTCTGTCCATCCCTTGTATGTATGTACGTGACCGCGCATAGTTCCACCTTTGCCAACTGCCCACTACTTCGTCCTTGTAAACATACCACAGCACCCCATCACTGATCATAAACAAATACTGCCGAAATGTAGCCAATCTGAAATGCAAGATGGTCGTTCGCCCCAACTCTTCATCATTCGCTTCGTGTATATGCTGTGATAATTTTTTACTGCGTATCTTGAGTCGAGATATTAAATAAGGATTCCTAGGAACCGTGAGGCAAGACGTTTTAGCCTTGAGCTGCTTCTCGTGCAGTAACTGAGATGACTAGAGGCGTACTATCTTGGTCGTTAGACGTACGTTGTTTCGTAGGTAGCAGTCACCAGGGCCTCGATACGCTTGAATCAACCCATAGATTGTTGACGAACTTCGAAAGTTATTAGAAATCGGCAGAATAACAAGATTACTTTGGCTCAGATATTAGAGTGACACTCGGCCGCCATAAAAAAATGCTCGGGTAAAATCGGTTAGTACCGATCAGTTCATGCATTTTCGAAAATCTTGCCGCTGAAATCTATGCGCCCTGTCTACATGCTCAAGACTGATTCCGTATTTATGAGCGATAACCGCTTCAAGAGTCAAGTGGTTCAACATGCGTTCCTCCCAATGGAAAGTGTTCAGATACCGAGGTGCTATCAACAAACATAAACTGTTCAGTCAGGTTATCTCGTTTCGAAAATAAAATGTTGGTGTGTACGCTTGAGCTTCCGCTTCAAGAACAGAGCGTGATAGCGTGATTGGGCCTCGTTCGCGGCTTCTCATTCGCTAACTAGGCCTTCCTTCTCGGTGGGCAGCTCGACCATTCCACGACAATCGCGATGCGTGTATTAGGAATGACCATGGCCGATAGGTGGCGCGCTGTGCAATCCAAGATGGCTGCGGAGGGATCACCAACCCGCGAACTCGCATAGTAGAAGATAGGACGCGCGGACGTACTCCCCGTGCCGCTTTCACTAGATGAACTCTTGATCGTCAAGTGAATGTATATCGGACCAAAAGTACTTTCCCAAACTATAGGAACTGCTGAATGTTCGCGACCTCATTTGAGCCGCCGTGCGAAGGGTGGTGGTGTCGGCTGACTGTCCGTGTATCAACGATGCTTTGTGTGACCCTGTGCGTGCTACATAAAACTGCGCGAATCAGAATTCACGTAGGGACCGAATGTCACTTCGAGGTAGTTTGTGCCGAGCCTGCCGGGTGAATTTGCGGCAGTAGTAGGCCACTAGCGAGTAGTGCGCCGTCACGGCTGCACAGGACCGAATGTCTACCGTATAGCGATCGCTTGCACACATATTACATCGTCGTCACGATTTATTTATTTATTACGTACTGCAGACCCTTAGCTACAAGCAGGTGGGCAGTTACAACAGGACATCGTTGAAACAATAAGTTGCATAAGGATTGTTTGGGTTGAGTTTCATACACTATAACGGAGCACAAGGAGCGACATAGATAATTATTTCATAATAACGCACCGGACAAAAGAAGAAAAAAAAACACCACAAATTCATACTTCATATGTTGTGCGATTAAAGTAAAAATAAATACATAATAAATGCAAACAATAAACACAATAATTTTCACTGTTGCGCTGTGAGCCACATGCAGCTGCTTCTTTAACGGAACACTAGCATTCAACTTCCCATTACGTCGCGTTTTTTGTCACAGCCATGATCAGACTTCTAACATGTGTGCGATTCGCTGCACTCGGTTGTTGCAGGTTTTATCAGCGCGATCGAAACAAGGGTATCGAAAGTAATAAACGCGTACGCTTTTCGCAACGCCAAAATTGTGAAAGTTGGTCGAACAACAACGTTGTTCGGGTGGTACCGGTAAAGTGCTGGGGAAGTTAGCGTGTACAGTAGTCGTAACTGCATATTTCGTTGCTCAAACGCTTTCGCTTCGCTGGTTGATCTCGAGCGTATCGGCGGCATGCGGCGTTTTGTAATATTTACTGTAATTGGGCTACATGCAGTGCACACTCAAGTTTTTTTTTATTTTGAGCTCGCTAAAGGATATTATGCAATAAACACAATCAAAGTGACTTACGAGCGTCAAAAAAAAAAAAACATTAACGCAAGACGGGACAGAAAGTGCAACTCGCTGCTCGTGAGCTAGCAGCTGATCGTTCATCGTCGCTGTCACTCTCAGCGCGTTCACAACCATCTACGTACCGTGAAAAATCCTCGAAATCTAGACAGTTTCTTTAAACATCAGTGCTGAAAGTAATCTGAGCAATTCTCTCCGCTGAACGTCTTCCATAGCATCAACAACGCGTCATTTCACAATCGATGCGCCCTGTCTACGTGTGCAAGAGCGATTCCTTATTTTTCGAGCGATAACCGCTTCACGAGTGAAGGGATTCAATATACTTTCATCCCAAAGTGGGAAACGAAGTGTTCAGATACCGAGCTGCAATCAACAAACTTAAGCTGTTCAATCAGGTTATCTCGCTTCGGAAAATAATCAGACGCGGAGCAATCAGTCTCTATGCGGCTGCATGCTTTCTTCCTGCTTTCTCGAGGGCCTGGTTATATCTGGGCAACTAAGTGACCCACGGGTCGCACGATAATTAAGTTGTCGTGGTTTTTCGATTCATTCCTCTGTCACCGAATATCACTTGCCTTACTGTGACTCCACATGCCTCGCCGCGGTGGTATAGTGGCTAAATTGATGACCCGCAGGTCGCGGGATCCAATCCCGGCAGCGGCGGCTGCAATTTCGGTGGAGGCGAAAATGCTGCAGGCCCGTGTGCTCTGATTCGGGCGCATGTTAAGCATCCGGAGCCATCCACTACGGCGTCTCTCATAATGATATGGTGGCTGTGGGACGTTAAACCCCACTTATCAATTACAGTGAATCCTCGCATTAAGTGACGCCTGTGAAGTGGCCATTTGCAGGCATAGTATAAAGTATTTGCGTGACTCTGTCTCTGAACGCTTCCTTCATAATAATTATGGTGACGATGATGGTGATATGAAGTGGTTATTGGCTTGAGGGCCGCTGATGGTAAAAGAGCGCCGAGAAAGTAGTTAAAGTGTTATAATACTGTGTAACGTGGCTGTATAATAGCCTGAAATACTGTGCACAGAGCTTATATAAATATTAAATCATGTGTTAGGCGACAGTTCAATGAATAAAAACGGCGACATCAGTGAAAATGTACTCTAGTTTGGTAAAATACGAGGGAACTACTACTTCGCAATCACAGAACTGCCTCCTTTTTGTATGTCCCTGCCGATGCGGCAGCTTGAATTTATCTAAAAATATGAAGTGGTGCATAACTGTAGAAAAGCTCGCGAAAAAAGGGGCACAGCATTGAATATGACACCGGTGACCTGCCGCTGAAGAGGCGTGATATTACGAAATGTTTTGGAAATGCGGCGATAACATGTCCTCGGTAGACCAGTAATTTTACTCGGGTAAATATTATCAGCTTCTTTGTAAATGAGGGAATAAATGACAGCAAAGTAACTGGGAAAAAACTGTTTAAGCTCAAAAATAAACTTTAGATGGGGTGATTCTGGGAAATATTTAATATATCTAAAAGAGCTTGCTTATCAAATGCTTGTTCAGCAGCACAAGTTCTCTTTGAAGAGTTCAGAAGAGAAACATAAAAAAATTATAATATTTCATTTCTATGGAGTGTCATGTGAATATGGCAAAAAATATGCTCTACAGTGCACGTCTCTGTTTTGAAAAGATAACTCGCATCTCCGAAACTTCTTGTCTTCATTTGTTTCTTTCTTCCTTTTGCAACGAAGGTTCACTGCTGGAATGATGGACATGGATGCAAATTTGAGGGAGCCATGGAGATCATGCTGCGACACTATGAAAACGAATGCACATTCCACGCCGTGGAATGTTTCCGATGCGGCGAGCAAGTCCTGCACAGGGAACTGCCAACGCACTACGCCGCCGGATGCAGTGCAGCTGTTTGTTTAACTAGCACTAAGGACACACCATCGGTCTCTCAAGCCTTGACCCGCCAAGATGTGACGGCTGCCCTCGTAGAACTTAAGACGCTGCTGAAGGGCGCCAATCAGGAGCTGCTGCTACCTGCGATTCAGAGTCAAATAAATGAGCTAACTGAACGGATCAGGAACTTGGAATCCACGTCGGCCACGATCACTCATGCTGTCGCGGCAACTGCAACGTCAGATATGGCTCGAATCGAAGTGCCGAGTCCCTCGGCCTCGGTGAAGAGGGAAACTTCTCGGCAGAATCCAACTGAAGAGGCAAGCACGTCGTCGACGTCCCGGTCCAGCTCGGGGGAGAAGTTGATGCCTCAACAGCTGGGACCCCTTGTGGACTTGACACGAGAAGTTATGAAAGGCATGCGCAAAACTTCATCGCAAGATTATCCTCAGCATGCCATTACTTATGTCCGTGGGAATGCTCGATGTCAATTAGAGTTAGGTGGGATGTTGCCAACAGCAGTTACGTGGAGGGAAGTACGTGGAACCATGAAATATATTCTGACGCTCGAAAATTTTTTTTACTCGTCGCTCAGCGCACACAACCTGGCTGATGCCACAGTGTTGCACACAAGGGACGCGTACTTGACATTTAAACTTTTCGGCAGTTTCGCTGACCTTCGTGTGGATATTACGTTTCATGGCATGCGTGGAGAATCTAAAGTTTGGCTCCCGTTTTTTTCTGCAAGGTCTACTGTCTTAACACAGGTAGAATTCTTCCAATGTCTATGCATGAAGAACTGCAGGACTGTAAGCACGATCGAAACTTATGGACGCATCGTGGCCTCATATATACCATAGGCTGTGGTACCCTGTCACAGAGAAACGACAGAGTCGGAATCAAGGTGGAACTTGAGCTTTGTCATCAATGAGAACTCCCGGGCGCAAACTTCAGTGCGTACTTTTCGTTTAGTGAGTGAGTGCATTCTGTTTCTTTACTTTGTATGTCCAGCGATATCGGAGTTAAGTCGCACGATCACACAACCATGAAGCCTAGAGCTTTTCAGCATTGGGCGCATAAATATTGCACTGCTTGACCTATTTTGCATTTTGTGTGCGTGTGAATTTGTGTAAGTGAAGTTCCGAGATTCTGTTGGAAGCTTCGGTTCCCGAATAAAGCACGTTGTGCGTCTGTTTCAAAAAATAAACCGTTTTTTAGGGGCGAAGCTCCTTATAGCGGCACCCGTTCGTCTCTCGTAGTCGTAGTAGTAATCGTAGTGTGTAACCAGTCTTACATTTTGACCTCCAAGACGGTGCCGGTGAGAGATTTCTTCTGCGCATTGTTGAACAGTAAAAAATTCGCAGCGTGTGCGTTAACTAAAAGCCGAATTATCCTGTCTCTCATTCTTCATTAGCAGTCATTGGCATGTACATTGAGCACTATCTGACAAGAAAGGGTTGCTACGTTATGCTCGCTGGGCGTAACTTCTTTGGTTTTAGAAAGGTTTAGCGAGCGTTGGGCCACAGTGCCATGAATACCGTGAACTAGTATATACCATAAACTCGGCGTGTTTAAAGGTGGGAGGTAGACACGAAGCCCACGTCGTAAGAATGTGTGCGTGTGCCTCCTCTCGTTTAGTCTTTGGAATGTCTGCTGGATGGTGGTGCATATGCGGAATATATGATGAAAAGATGCGAGATGGGGGTACTTGGAGTGTTGATTAGGTGGACGAACGGACACACAGACAGGTGCATGGACGGACTCGCCGATGGCTGCACGAACGCATGGACGGATGCAGGGGCGGATGCATGGACGAATGCAGGGATGGACGCACAGATGGACGTGTGGACGCACGAACAGACGCACGGACGGGCGAATGGACGCATGGATGGTCACACAGACGGGCGTATGGACAGACGGAAGCAAGAACGAATGGATGGACGGATGCTTCGCCCCACTCTCCATCATTCACTCCGTGGATATGCTGCCATTTGTAATTTATGAAACAGTCTTGACAATATCGTTCTTATTCAGTTCTATACATTTAGGATTTAGTTTTAGGTTTGCTCGGGTATTTATATAGTTTGAGGTTAGATGAAATCCTGCATTAGGTTTCAATAATGGGGCTTTGTTTAATTCTGTTTAGCGAAATCAGCCGATGTGTACTCGTTCACACGATGTGTACTCGATTGGCACTTTAAATAATAGTTATGATATGCCAATGGCAATACTGTCAAAGAACACCATATTTAACATTCGGGTCATCCGTGCCGTCATCACAGCCGATCCACGTAGTGGTGCTAAATATGCGCCAGCTGGGAACTATACAGCTGGGAACTGCGCCATACAGTTTTTTTTTGTCTACATCGCGCCTTTGTTGTGCCAGAAGGTGGTTTTGGAACCGAAAGTAATGTTGACAGCAGGCATCATGAGCGGGATGGCCGTCATCTTGTACACTTGCGCTTCTGCATTTGCGCTGCTGAAAAGCCGCGGAATCGGCCGATCAATTATTCCGACTTCCGTGCGACTACAGCGGAGCCTTTTGTGGTAACCATTGGCAAAGAACGAAGGCGACGTGGCAACCAACGAAAAGTGCGCCAGTAGGACTTGTCGCCGACAAAAAGCCTACGTGTGGGGCGTAGCGCTGGTTTAAGCCTACTGCACGCTTTTAAAAGCCGACGACTACCTGACAGCGCTGAGGCACCGAGCGCTTCCGCCTCAATCGTTGTGCTGGACCGTGCTCAGCGTGCACCGCTTTACAAAAACGAAGGCAGCTTGCTGTTGCAGATTCGAGCGTTGTAGCAAATGGTTGTGGATCGTGGGCCCCGAGACACCAAGCGTATAACACAAGCTTTCAAAAGGCGACAGCCCAATAGCACCTCCGTCCGCTGCCAGGGCCACTAGGGCATTGCTTGCAGAAAGCTCGCATCGACGCGCCGTTAACGCAACATGTCTTCTCGCTGCATCTGTGCATGGTCTGAAGCGGAGTAGGCGCGAGCGGCTCGGTACGGTGTACTGTACGTCAAGTAGGCGAAGTGCTGCACGCAACTAGCCAGTAGACAATTAGCTGCCTACTACCACAGTCCTTCAATACGTTTTTCTGGTCACGAAACTGCCACCTCTGTTTAATATGGAGCTACCGCCGGCCGCTAGGGGTGCTACAGTCAAAGAAGCCATCTCGCCGAGCGGCTGCTGCAGACTACGCTTGCATTTTTTTTTCTTCTTCTCGGGTTCGTCGCGGCCGGAAGTCCGGCTCCTTCTAGACATCATTTACACTATACTTTCTCGCTGAAATTATACTAACATACTAACTAAACTGGAACTTCTCAGAATTTTTGCTTACCGAAGACATGACGCATACAGAAAAGTGAACAATCTCAGTCAGCAGGTGGTTCAGTGTACCAGCAGACGACGCGCACGGACCCATTCCTACTGCTAATTGTGTGTTTTGCTGGCCCAACAGGTATCGAATAAAAACATTTCACGCGACTGTGATACGTTCAGAGGATGAGACATCAGCAGCGCTGTCAGTAAACGAAACTTGAGCTCAATAACACTATCGGTCCGGGAGAGGCCGATAGTGTTACCTTGTTCATAGCGAACGACACACATCATGAGGAAGGTTGCCAACCACCACAGACTTGGCATGATGTTTTCATCACCTAAGAAACTTTCGTGGATGTGCTCGCGAATTTCGAGCGCCGAAGAGCGAGCTAGCCTCATGAAGCTTGCCAACCAGGTGGTGCAATGCCATGTGGGAGTTCTGTACAAGATTCCCCCTTGCGTCAACGCCCCGCCGTGGTGGTCTAGTGGCTAAGGTACTCGACTGCTCACCCGCAGGTCCCGGGCTGGACTCCCGGCTGCATTTTTGATGGAGGCTAAAATTCTGTAGGCCCCTGTTCTCAGATTCGAGTGCACGTTAAAGGATGCCAAGTGTCCGAAATTTCCGGAGCCCTCCACTACGGCGTCTCTCATAATCATATGGTGGTTTTCCCAATCGATTATCCGAACAGCGGGTTGTCCGAATGCGTACAAGGCGTTTGCAGTCAGGTGAAATCGGGCCGCGATGACGTAAGCTGAATGCTTACACGCATTACGCCAGCACTGTTCTTCCGTTACCTGCTCAGCTCTGGGAACCAATCAGCCATTTTGTGAGCACTCATTGGTTAGTGAGATGTCTCAGTACGACATTTAATCTGTCTGGCTCGAAACGGCCCCACCGTGGTGGTCTAGTGGCTAAAGTACTCGGCTGCTAACCCGCAGGTCGCGGGATCGAATCCCGGCTGCGGTGGCTGCTTTTCCGATGGAGGCGAAAACGTTGTAGGCCCGCGTGCTCAGATTCGGGTGCACATTAAAGAACCACAGGTGGTTGAAACTTCTGGAGCCCTCCACTACGGCGTCTTTCATAATCATATGGTGGTTTTGGGACGTTGAACCCCACATATATATCTTCCCGCGGCAAATTTTATGTGGGTCAAAGAAGCCGCTGCGTAAACGACCGTTCATGTGAATACCCGCTGTCGATCATAATTAATTAAATAGCGAACTCGCCCGCTCACTGCGCAGCCTGGGAATACAAGGTCGTACCCAGGAATAATTTTTGGGAGGTGGTCATGCGCAGAATGGCCAACCTTGGCTATTGTTGATTGATGTGAAGGCGTGTATATACTTCAGTATCACAAAAAAAAAGCACGAAAGAACTTCAGGGGGTGTAAGAACCACGCAACCCTCTTGCCTCCTAGTTACGGTGTGGTGCCATCATCACCATCGTCATTTTTTCCATCACCGCGCCGCGTCTCTCGCGCAGCTGGCGCGAGCTCGAGCTGCGCGAGGAATAGAACGAGCTGACACGCCTGGCGTGGCGGACGCTGGTAGCCGACGTGGCTCCGCTTCAGGCCTGCAATAAAGTGGCGAGATCGGCACGGCCCCATCGGCCGCCTTCGACGTCGTCTCACGTCTCTCTTCTCTCGCCGCTACATTGGTGACCCGGAGAACACGCCCTTCGCCGAGCGGCCCGCGGCCATGTTCCCCCAACTCTGCCCACCAGTGCCGCCGTACCAATCAACTTACCCCAAGGTATGGTTCATGCAGCTCGACGCCGTTCTTGCGGTGAATGGCATCACGGACCAGCTGCTGATGCACGCCATTCTTCTCGACGCCCTACCGGTAGAGTTGCGCCATCTCGCTGCCACTTCAAGCACCAGCCCGCAGCCTTACGATGCCCTCGGCACTGCGGTGCTCGCCCGCAGCGGCAACACATACCGTCCGCTTCCGTTTACCCGCACCAGGCAGGTTTCCCCGGCGTCGCAGAGCAAGGTACGAACCAGTCCGCAGCCCTCCATTGACCGCTACCTCGTTACCCCAGCTTCGACTACTTCTACACCTGATCCGGTCGCAGAAACATCCACTCCTGCACCTGATCACGACCACGAGGTAGAAGACTCCCCCACTGCGACTGAGCTTCCCTCCGAGAGGTACATTCCCTCAGAGCCCCCGTGCAGAGCTTCATCACACGTACCTGCTACCTGCACGTTTTCCAAGAAAGCGACGGCACGCGACACCGTGGCCCTCGCCGTTTCCGCGACCACCAGCTCAGACGTCCGGGTCACCAATGTAGCGGCGAGAGAAGAGGAGACGTGAGACGGCGCCGAAGGCGGCCGATGGGGCCGTGCCGATCTCGCCACTTTATTGCAGGCCTGAAGCGGAGCCACGTCGGCTACCAGCGTCCGCCACGCCAGGCGTGTCAGCTCGTTCTAATCCTCGCGCAGCTCGAGCTAGCGCCAGCTGCGCGAGAGACGCGGCGCGGTGATGGAAAAAATGACGATGGTGATGATGGCACTACAACGGTCTTGTGTGGATGTGGAGCACGATTTAAACAAACTAAGATACTGGGGCATAGGAAAAACATGTATGCTCGTGAGGTTTTGGAAGCGTTCTTTATGGACACGAAAAATGATATAGTTGCAAGTGAGACCTTGGTATCGTCTTAGGATATATACGTATAAGGGGAATCAGCGCGCGATATTTCTGGGCGTGTTTGCGCGGATATGTTCGGTTTGCCTATTTTAGCGACGCTGTATGCCCTCAATATAAACAGATAGCAGTTCGCGCTCTATCTGCATAGTGTTCCTTCTTTGTGGTGCCCTTTTCCATTTAGCGCAACTTTTCCTGCATATAATGAACCGGCTATCTCTTCAATACTTCCTGATTGAAGAAAAACCTCCTTGCGGAACTGTCAAAGGGTTCCGAGAACGTGGCTTTTGCGGGAAGCGTACGAGTCGCCTCCATTTGTTAAACAGCTGCTAATTGAAACGTTGCAAAAACTGTTTTGCTACGGCGTGTAGTAATTTGAGGGAACATGAGTACAGATGCTATTGCACGTCTTATACTTGCTTAGAAAGGACAACGCAAACGCGTGTTTCGGGAACAGTAGCTAGATCACGTGGTTTAAACGTCATCAGATTGAAAAAGTAACAAGGGGCAAAGTTGACTGATATGTGAGGTTTAACGTCCCAAAACCACCATATGATTATGAAAGACGCCGCAGTGGAGGGCTCCGAAAATTTCGACCACCTAGGGTTCTTTAACGTGCACCCAAATCTGAGCACACTGGCCTACAACATTTCCGCCTCCATCGGAAATGCAGCCGCCGCAGCCGGGATTCGAACCCGCGACCTGAACAAGGGGCAAAGTTCACGGCTCATCTTTCTTCCTTCCGGATTCTGAATTCCTCTCTGTGTGCAGCAAAGTATACACAGCGATGCGTCGCCATTGCAATTATCAGCCAATACATGCCTCACGTCGACACACTTTACGTAAACATATCCGGCCTGTGCGTACTGCGCCTCGCTCGAGCCTCGAACATGACGGCATGCACATGACGGCTGGTAGCAATTTAGCATAAGGTCTATCTTTGCTATTAACGAACATTTTCGCCTGGGCGCACCTATTGGCATCAATGCCAGCATTACGTCTCGGTATAACATCAGTTCTCGTGGTGCCATGGACCAGTAATACTAAGTAAGATGACGTCAAGTACGAAAGTGCACGAGACGACCGCTTGGACGTCACCAAAACATTCCAACGCCCGTCACCAATGGCGCTGCGTTTAAGAATAGCCCTAAAACATCCCGAAATCTTGCGCGAACACGTGTCCGTAAGGTTGTGCCATGTCGCGGTGTTAAGAAACAGGAGGAGCCGAAACTAGCTTTTTAAAAACGTATTACAATTGATTTGTCAGAGTGCGCTCCCGCTTACCAGCAAATAGCCCATGCCTCTCCCATATGGACGCTCATTCCAGTGAAAAGAACGACAACAACACATTTTTCACGTCAGTACCGCTTAAATCAAGGTGTAGGTTGGTGTAATCGTAGGAGTCGTGTCAGGCCACTGCGACTTGATTGATTGAATGATATGTGGGGTTTAACGTCCCGAAACCACGATATGATTATGAGAGATGCCGTAGTGGAGGGCTCCGGAAATTTCGACCACATGGGGTTCTTTAACGTGCACCCAAATCTGAGCACATGGGCCTGCAACATTTCCGCCTCCATCGGAAATGCAGCCGCCGCAGCCGGGATTCGATCCCGCGACCCGCGGGTCAGTAGTCGAGTACCTTAGCCACTAGACCACCGCGGCGGGAGGCCACTGCGACAACTGCTGTTAAATGCGGCGTTTTGAACTGCGTGTCTGTGTTGCGCGAGAAGTGAGCATTGCGGCACGTGCGATATCGAAAATTTTTTTTTCGCTGGTTTGTTTAACGAACGCCTTCTTGCCAGTGCAAACGCGCGCTTCTCAACGGGAGCCGTCAGTCCGATTAAGTTCAGAGAATGGTCCCGATGTGATGCCACATGAGGGGCAGGTCTGCTTGCAGCACACGTGCTTCCAAGCGCTTTCTCACGCAGATGCATTAGGTGACCGGTAAAATAGAAAATCGCAGGGAACTATGGGATGCGACAGCTTCCGGTTCGACGCACCACGCGGGTGAGCAGCGGCACGCGCGCATTTTTGTATACTGCTCCGTTGAAAAAAGCACCTTTCAGTGCAATGTCAGTGCTTTAGAAGTTGTTTTTCTTTGAAACCGTGACTGTGACGATGACAAGCTATACGAAAGCCATGAAGTGGTCCAGAAACGTTTTTGTCGCACTAAAATGATCTGCAATGATTTATGCTGCTCGGGGGTGCTGTCAGTTTGGCTAGCAGATCAGTCGATACACAAAACAGTTCTCCCTTTATGATAGGCTACTGCAGATAAAAATTCACCATTTTAAAGATCTCGAGGGATAGGGGATGACTGTAGCAGTGTGCTAAATGTTCATTTTGGCATCGCTGCTTCGGTCTAAGTTGTCACTCAATCGGCATGAAGCGCAACACTTATCGAGCGCGTGGAGATATTTTTTTTCTAGCCTTCAGCGCGCTATAAGATGCATTTCTTAGTCGAAGCCAGATGCTTATTTGAACGCTAGATCTTGGTCAAGCTACACTGGCATGGCGGCACATAAACTAATACAGTCAGACATAGACGGCGCCGCGTAATCGAAACCCTGCGCTTGTTTAACGCACTTCTTCCTTTGTATGCCGTCCTGGCGCACGTGTTTGACCAAGATAAACGCAAATGAACTCGTCCAGCACTTCGTGTAAACTCACTCTTGAGTGAAGCTCTCGCGTTTTTTATCATGTATATGGGTGCAAGGGCCGGCGCTCATCTCGTATGGCAGGTAGATGTTAGTCGCGAATTCTCTAATATCTTTGCTAGGCGTGCCTGAGCGACAATCTACCTCTCAATACAATATTCGCGGAAAATTCATGAGACCATATCTTTCACAGAGCCTGCGTGACCACCGATATCGCGAACACGAGGATTGCAAGACGCCATCCCAGGGATTTGTGCAATGCTGAACAAAAAAATACTTCATATAACTTCCGTCATGAGCCACTGCACAAAGGGCCCCCCCCCCCCCCCCCCCCCGAACCGCAAAGAATGTGCGAAGGCTAGATGATGGGAGAGAGCAGGAAAGAGCTGGAGGACAGGGTGGGGAACAACTGGATCGGGCACATCCGGCTGGCATTGATAAAGCCAAGAAGGCGTTGTTCTATTCCTGTACGCCAGCCAAACTGCTTGATACCGCCAACCAGAGATAAGATTCGGCGGTAATAACTAGGGCGCTCTTGCGCCGAGTGTTGCATTTGTGCGTGAAGATTGTCGGACACTCCGCCATGCCGGACAGCGGAAGGGTGCATCGTTTTCGCGACCACGCCGTTGCAGGCGTCAACTGGAGAGCGACGAAGTTCGTCGACGAGGTGCCCAGCTCACGCGTGTGCGCTCTCTGCCGCATGATTCCGAAGCGGACTGTGCTGTTGCCATGCTCGCACGCTCTGTGCCAACCGTGCCATGTGGCCAGCTGCCAAGGTGCCAGTGGGCGGTGCCCCTTGGATCAAAAGCCGTTTGACGGAGCGGAGTGCGTCACTTATGACTTGCCTGCCAAGAAAGCGGCAGCCATGAAGGTGAGTAAGTGGTTATCGCATCCTTCTTCGGAGTAGTTTACTCGCGTTACATACAACTGTGAGCGCAGGGCTCGGTGGTTAAACGTGGAGCGCTGGTGGCGAGGGCGACGGGGAGGGGCAGTTTGTTCGTGACGCTCTGAGACGCAAGTTCAGTGTGTAATACTCGGCGGTGCTGGCGGAACGTTGTAAGAATTAGTAACGGAATGCCGTCTGCTCTCCCGACTTCGCATAGCTTCTCACGCGAGTTCAGTGTTTTGAAGCCGTGGCTGGCAAGCAGCGCTCACCGTCCCTACAAATATAGACTCAATTGTGCTCTGCCAATCTCATTCACCTTTTTATAGTGAATTTAGCTGCGCTGGAAACATAGACAACGTTAGACAACACGTGCGCAGGCAACACACTTCTCGTATTGCTCTGTTCGCGTTTCTAGCACCGTATTAGGATACCTGGGCTTAATGGCGTCAGAATGGCCAGGTTGTACTGTGGAACCCGTACAAGCTTGTTGAGGGCGCGTAGTAGGGCTTGTTGTTTTGCGTCGTGCTGAAATTCAACATGGCGCGAAGGAAAGGACAACGCACTCTATTTCGTTGCATGTCATTTTTTTTTTCTGCAGCGTGAACGAGACCTGTCGCTAGGCATTCGTTCGGGAGGGGGGGGGGGGGGGGTCTTGTTGATAGCCTTGAAAAACATCTGTTCAAGCCGTAGCCGGGAAATAAATTACGTTTTCTCACTGTACACTTTTAAACCTGGCAGTTAGTAGCGCGAGACAGACGCGCTAGAGCACCTTATACAAGTGGTCGTCGTGGAACACTACTTCAATGACCGGCACAGCTAGCCCCTCCAGCCACAAATGTCACCATATGACGAGGCCAGATTTTGCCGATAAAACAGCACACGCGGCGCACAGCATTTCACCGACTTGAAGCTGTTGCATGTTCTGAGGCACAGTTGAGAAAGATCTCGAGTTGCAAGAAGTTCTTGTGTCTCTCCCCTTTCTATCCCTCCGCGGAATGAAGTCCGAATGTAGTTAAGTTCCACGGGGCAATTGTCTAACAGATTCATCTGGGTGGCTTCTGCTCTCAGAAGTTACAAGTATACGGGAATAACAATAGAGGTAGTGATACCTGATAGTTTGCATGGTGACTAGAATAACGCAAAGCTGATGTTGTCGTGAGTCGCATGTTCTAATTGACTGCTTTTGTTGACTTGTGATAATGGGGTAACAATTAACCCGAAGTTTTGTTTTTCTTATTTTCCTTGGAGTACAACAGTGATGCGACCGACAAATTCTTCAACAGTTCCACGTTCTAAATCTACTCGAAAGCGAAAACATTCTTCCTTTTCTTCGAAGCTTGTTCATTGTAACCCACTCTTTCGAAAGCATTCTGCACTGAACTTTTTACACAGCCTGTAAGATGAGAAACAATGCAATACAGTGCGCCTCTTCCGGTACCCTCGGTTATGGGCGCACCTTCGATGTCGTGACGTCACGTTCGCAAAAACCACTGATGCCATCTTAGACATTATTATCATAGACGAGTGGCGAAGTGATGAAAAAAAAAATCACCATCAGGTGACGTCATATGGGGTCATCACGTGAATGCGATTTTTCGCATCACTACGTCACTCGTGTTGACAAGGCCGAACGTTCGCTTTTGGTCAGGCGTGCCACTCTTGTCCTAATTATTCAAGTCCGTTGTAGTTGGAAGAGAAGCGCCTCTGCTACTGCCGTCTATGGCTCTGCCAACTTGTATCTTCAAACTGTAAAACATTGTAATAATCGTTCGCATTGAATGAAACATTACGAACAATCGAAGCCCTCCAGCTACGAGTACGAGATTATCCTTATGGACCGAATAACCATAATTCAGCTGTTTAATTTTCACGCAAAAAATTGTAAATTCTTCAACTTTCCCTTCAAGTGTAAAACGCGAAAGCATAAACGCATTGACTTATTCGTAGCCTGCCTTCGGTTCTCGCTTGATGCCTCAACTCGGCCGCCTCCGGCTGCGGCAGCTGCATTTTGGATGGAGGCGGAAATGTTGTAGGCCCGTGTGCTCCGATTTGGGTGCACGTTAAAGAACCCCAGGTGGTCAAAATTTCCGGGGCCCTCCACTACGGCGTCTCTCATAATCATATGGTGGTTTTGGGACGTTAAACATCGCATATCAATCAAATCAAAATCAATCAATTCGGCTGCTGACGAATGAACATCTGTGCGTACAACATTGACCGTTTCAAACTGTCCTTGCATGCATAAATTGCTAAAATAACTAGAGGGTGCTCTGGCACAACGATCGTTCAGCGACCATGGGAATGATGTGCACTACACAGATAAGCCTAATCTTCGTGATTGCGGGTTTCGAACATGCTTGTGGCCTTGATCATTGTTTTCGTATTGTTTCTAATGAAAGAATGAATGGTTGCGAAATTTGTGAGCCGATTTGAAGAGGTGAGCCTAATTATTTGTGAAACATTTGTGGATTTTTGTTTCGTGACAAAGCAAGTCCAAGTCAAGCGAAGCTAAACGGAGCTTAAAGTACGTACACTAGGCAAGTACGTGCACTACCCATCATTCCCATGCACGCTGCCACGTTGTGTGTTGCAGCTCCCATAAACACTAGCGCCAGAGTTTCCTCTCGCGTATTTATGAGAAACTGTCTGCTCTAATGTGTACAACAATTAGTTGCGAACTGCCCACTGCGCAAGAATTATTCTTGCGCATCAACAGAGCACACTACGCTTCCTTGAGGCAACACGTTAAGTTATGGAGCTGATTTTTTTTGTTGATGCTTTTGTTGCTAAATATTATATGTCTGGGCGCTCTACGATTCCGATCACTGTTGCAGAGTTGCCACTGGTGACCCCAAATGGGAATAGAATTAAGACAAAGCTTGGAGCATTGGATCGATTGATTAATTTATTAATTGATATGTGGGGTTTAGCGTCCCACAACAAGAGCACCGTGACGGGGTGTTGAGGATTGGAATGAGAATGGAATTAACATTTCACATGGAATAGAATGAAAGTAAATTTCGGTATTTTTGTTTTTCTGAACATACAGCACGCTTTTTTTTTTCTGCCCACTGTTTTTAAACCTTTATACATTAGTAAGTTCCTCAATTTTAACAATAAAGCAGTACTATTAATATGCCTTGGCAGATTACAAGCATGACACATGCATTTATAAGGACACTTTTGTCATTATATTTACTGTGTTGCAGTCAAGTTTGTCTCCACTCTTTCAAGCAATCGCCCTTCGAAGCCGTTGGTATTCATCTTGTGAAAGCACTGCAGTGGCGTACACCCGTTACGTCTTATGATTTTTTTTTCCCTTGGCGGCACCCCAACCGCCTGCCGTCTCCCCACTTTTCTTTTCTTTATGCTTGCTTCTGTCGTTGTCGGCGATTCAGTCGCATATTCGAAAAAGCGCTTCGCTAAGTTGTCATAAAAACTGACGCTGGCGCTATGCTTGCCTTCACTGCTAGCTTTCGTATACCAGCTTGCTTACCGTTTAACCTCATACACCCCCCCCCCCCCCATTTGTTTCTTTGTTTGTGTGATTGGTTTTGTACATTTTTGCGTGTTTTTGTTTGTTTCTTTTTGTTTGTTTGTTTTCTATGTTTTTGTTTGTTTCGGTGCCAGTACAGAAAATGGAGCGCGAAGGCAAAAGGCTAAAGGCCAGACTAAGGGCCTCTGCTTTCATAAAAATTTGCAGGCTTTCATAAAAATTTTGCAGGATACAGATGAAAAATACAAAAAGGTATTTGCAGTGCTCTCGCCCCTACTTAGAGAAGCTGGCGCCTGTGCCCGCAACTGCGCAAAGTGTGTTACCCACCTGCTACTGCTCGAGCTTGGTGACGTATTTTTCTCCGTATCATCATCATAAGCCTGACTCACGTCCACTGTAGAACAAAGGCCTTTCCCAAGTCCCGCCAGTTAACTCGGTCCTGTGCTTGCTGCTGCCAATTTATACTCGCAAACTTCTTAATCTCGTCTGCCCGCCTAACCTTCTGTGTCCCCCTAACACTCTTGCCTTCTCTGGGAATCCAGTTAGTTACCCTTAATGACCAGCGATTGTCCTGTCTACGCGCTACATGCCCGGCCCATGTCGATTTGCTCGTCTTGATTTCAACTATTATCCTTAACCCCCGTTTGTCCCTGATCCACTCTGCTGTTTTCTTGTCTCTTAACATTACACCTACCAATTTTCTTTCCATTGCTCGCTGCGTCGTCCTCAATTTACGCTGAACCCTCTTTGTAAGTCTCCAGGTTTCTGCTTCGTAGCTGAGTACCGGTAGGATACAGCTGTTATATACCTTCCTCTTGAGGGATAGTAGCAATCTACTTGTCATAATTGGAGAGTGCTTGCCAAATGTGCTCCACCCCATTCTTATTCTTCTAGTTACTTTAATCTCGTGGTTCGGCTCCGCGGTTAATACCTGCCCTAAGTAGATTGCTCCGTATATATTTTTCTACGTATAGCATATTTCTCCACATACATTTATCCGTTCATAAATTGGCAAATACAATGCTATAGTCCCCCTCCACCCTCCAAAAAAGTGTGCGCCTTCATTATTATTTCTATAAGGACACGTTGTCAAAGCATTCCACTGAACATATTTGTGAGAAAATATTTCGCCTCAGCAGAGTTCAGCATGCACTGCCTTCTCTTTGTTCAGGATGGTTTTGTAGAAAAACCTCGCCTGTGCCTGTATTGTTCGGTTACCCAGTGCGAAATTGGGTCGCAGGCACACCAATTTATGACAATTTGCGTTTCTGCCTTCGTTTAACAAGCAGCTTGGCGATATCTTATATTATCGGAGAACGGTCAAGCACAATGAATAGTCGAAAAAGATGCTTTCAAAATGGTAATATGACATGTCTGGGGCGTGTCAACAGCTGTCACTTTGTGTACCCATACGTTGGAATTTGCGCGATTTTATTGAATGGTCGCAATTAACATTGCTTAATCCTTTTCGGCATTAGTATAATTCACCACAAACTAATTGAAATCCATCCAGTGAACCGATGCACAAATTTAAGTTTGTTTTTACTGATTAAATTGTAGGTTTTCTTTTCTCAAAGTATTGGTTTCGGTTTCAGGGAGGCCTACCATTAGTTGTCAACACTAGCACAACTGGCAAACAGAGCCATGCATATATAAATGCAGTTTTTGCTGCATCAGAACTTCGAATGTGTGTAGACTCTTAAAAAGAATGAAGTAAAGTTAGATTTCAAAAAAAATATTTTCAAGGGTCGCAGCATGCTTTAATGTATCTGTTATCGGCATCATGGGCGTTCTTTCTTCACTGTCCCATTCCTACGTTGAGTAACTACTATAATGGAATTGAACTGACCGATAATTCCCGAATGGGAATGGCTTAACTTTTTTTCATTCCGAGGAATTGAAATGATTGAATTTGCGCAAGCTTTAATTCTCGGGAATGGAATTGGAACGGAGATGCCCGTTCCGCAACACTTATTCACATGCTTTGCCGCCTGGCACCATTACACGCTTCCGTCGCGCAGCAGTAAATCCTTTAGGGCGCCTCCTAACACTACCAGATGTTGATACAGTGTTTTTTCGATACAGCTTCAAGCGATGGCGTCGTTCTACGATAGAACATTTGCTTACCGCGTAGCCGGCCAGGGATTGAATCTCGCTAGAACCAAAGTTCTTAGTTATTTCATTTATTTGCATATTTATTTGCATTCACGGGCTACGTTTTCACTTCTAACCAGTAGCAAACAGCAGAATTTCTTCAAAACTAGCTTTTCAACACTATTATTTTAATGGCTGGTGAGTCATATGCATAGGTGAGCGCAAGAGAGAGAGGATGGGGGACAGGAAGGCATGGCTGTCCCCCTTAGTAACAAAAAAAGGCACGTTGGAAAAAAGTCAGTCCCATGGTCATTCAAGGGAGGGGGTCGCTGCGATAAAACCTCACAGCCCCCACCCCCGCCTCTCCCGGAAGTAGAACCCCGCGCACATATCTGGTCGTATGAGTGGATAAGTTGCTTCCTCGAAATTCTGCTCGACGTTGTTTTACCCTCTTTCTTAAGTGCATGCAATTGAGACGTATGCAATGAAAGTCAATATCGACTTAGCGTTGAATGCGTGGTGAATTGACTTAGCATGAAATCTGTTAGCGAAACACTGGTATAGACGAGTAACTCTAGTCTAGTAACCAGACGTGCGTCTGGTTGGCCTCCCTGCCTTTCATTTTAGATGCGAAGCATGTTTTGCTGAGGTCTGTGCCTTGTGGCGTCGGAGTTCTCACTCACGCTTAGATATGCGACACTTCTGGAAATTTTCAACAATAGAAAAAACTATTTTGACGTTTTTTTCGCGGAAAACTGAAAAAAAAGGAAAAGAACAACTGTTCTTTAGCGTATGGCAATAGTTTATTGCCAAGTAACAAAAGCAGCACCTTTCATTAGGTAAATAACATAAATGAAATGCTTTTTCTTTTCACAAACGAATACGACATTTATCTGATGGAAGGCAGGCCTGAAACATCACCGCGAACACATTTATCTCTCTGAGTGGCTGTGGCTTCCTAGAATTGTTTCGATAAATAGAACAAGAAACCCAGCATGTCTATTTCGTCATGACTTGGACTACGAAAGCATTGAGTCAGTGTCGCTGGCTTCATCTGTAGCTCTCTTCATGTTAAGACGTCGCATTGGGAAAGCATAACTACTGTTGAAGTGCTTACAGACAGCTAGTCCCTGTTTCTGTCGAATGGTCTCCCCAAACGTGAAGTGCATCCACACGTCAGAAATTGGTCCAACCATTGCAAACCTGCTTGCACACCACAACCGAAAAACGAAGCTACTCTATGGGCTCGAGCTAATCTAACCCCGGAACTGACTGTGATTCTGATGGCAAGTGGTCAGCAGTAATTTGGTTTTTTGCATGGTGTTTTGGTATCACGTTGGCTGTTTTGGTTTGACATTCAACGCTGCCCATTACCAGGGTTACATTGCATTCTCGATAGAAAAGTGGCCAGCGCCGAGTTATCAAGAAAGGAAGCGCACGCAAGCCTGATGACGATTATTGTTGTGGGACAAAAAGACACCCTTTTTACTCGATATTTCTTTAGTGTGGTGAAGCGCAACTGCTAAACATTTGCTGATTTTTGTTTTGTGAGAACACAGCTCCAAACCACACCAACACACACGGAGCCATAAGTACGAACGTTAAGACAAATGCGTGTACTATCCGTTATTCCCATGCTCGCCGAAACGCTGTGCGTTGCAGCGCCCATAGGATGGATGGATGGATGGATGGATATGGCTGTACCCTTTAGATCGGGCGGTGGCTAGCGCCACTAAGCTGTAGTACTTAATGAACCAAAAACTAGATTTATTTTTTTCTTTAAAGAGTGAGTTTGAGGATTCGTACTTTGCAGTGAGGGGTTTAATTTTCACTCGTGCCTTGCCTTTAGCCACCAATCAGATAACCTCCTTCTAGTTACGTCTACTCGCTTAAAGTCTATTTTGCCCTCCCGGTCCCTAAACCCCAGTGCTTTGAAAAACTCTGCGCCATCATCCTGAACTATAGGGTGAAGCCCTTTACAGAACATTATCAAGTGTTCGGCAGTTTCTTCTTCCTCTCCACACGCACTGCATACTGTGTCTACCATTTCGTATTTGGCCCGATATGTCTTGGTTCGCAGTACTCCCGTCCTGGCCTCAAACAGTAAAGAACTACCCCGACACCAGCGCCAGAGTTCCCTCTAGTGTATATTTAGGAAACTCTATGGCTCCTCCCTTTACTCTAGGCATTTCTCTCCGCGGCGTTTTACACCGCTATTGGCGCGCGCGTTCTCCCGTCTCTCTTCTTTTACGCTCTCTTTCTCGCCTCTCAGTGCAGAGGTAGGCAGCGTCTCCTGGCGAGTTTCTTGACTGAAAAAACCGACTGCTCACGCTGCACGACCGTTCACGGGGCAACCACTATATATAGGCACTAGATTTTGACCTCCGAGGTAGCGCCGGTGCGAGATTTTTTGTGTGTTGTTGAACGATTAGAATCGGCAGCGTGCGCGTTAACTGGACACAGAGACTGCAGGTCTCTGTGTCCAGTCGGAGTCTTCAGTCTCTCATTGCCCCTTAGCAGCGATTGGCATGTTCCAGTGGGAAACACCAGTGCATAACTGCGCGCTTTGCGCCTCCCCTGGTGTCTCTCCTGTGCGACGCCGCGATGAGCGCCAGCGTCGACGTCGCAGCTAGTGTAAACGTTAGCGCCCTCTGCTTCGACTCTACACATGCTTTCCTTTAGCGGGAAATGGCACATCTTCCCTTCTTCCTCTAGATAGATTGTGATTGATACTGTTGTACGTGCTGGTTTCCCTCCTGGATTGTGTTTGGATGAGGTGATATCGACGGTAAACCGGCAGCATTGCTAATTCACGCCCTGCTTCCTAACAGGCTTTTTCGCAGTTGGGTCATTTTTAGGGGGTTGTCCTTTACAGTTAAGCCACACGACTATAGGCTTAAGGCATCGTAGGTTTGTGTGTATTCTCAAAGAATCGCCAAACCTCGGCTAAGGCTAAAACTTCACTATCCGTAAAAACGATATATCGCAGCTGATCGTAAAAAGTTGCAGCGATGCAAGACCTGCGCTTATGAAGTTTGCAACCATCTAAAAAAATTCTAAATTTCTTCAACAGAATTCTCTGATGGAGCGGTTTCAAAGAAAGAGAAAAAATCAATTTCCTCAGATTGAGAATTTATTGAAAGGCAGAGAGGTCACATTGTCAGAAATTCGTTGTCTTATTGTCTGCAAGCATTCGGACAAAACGTGGCAAAACATCACTAAATACCCTCCTTAACACTTTCTGCGAATATATTGCGTGCATGGTATTGCTGAAAAGATTGTGTTCTTTTTTGTGCTGTTGCAAAGGTTCGCTGCTGGAACGAAGCCCACGGATGCCAGTTTGAGGGTGCAGTGGAAGACATGCTGGGACATTTCGAGGAGGACTGCGCATTTCAGCCCGTGGAATGCCTTCGATGCGGAGAAGCAGTACTGCACAGCGACCTACCGTCACACTACGTAGCCGGATGCAGTGCCAGTGTTCCTCCAGCGGGCACAGTGAACCCGTCACCGGAATCCACAGCGCTGCTGCTCCAGGAGGTGTGTGCCACACTCGAACAATTGAAGGCACTTGTCAAATACGCTAACCAGGAGCACATTCTGCCTGTGGTTCAGAGCCAGATGAACGAGCTCGCGGAGCAGGTCAGGAACCAGGAACGCAGGTTAGCCGAGATGACTCGCGAAGTGGGTGCGTCTGTAGCGCAGATTGTCCATGAGGTTGGGGTATCTGAGGGAAACATAAAGGCAGAAATTGTTCAAGCCGCGGCCACGATTTCCTCGACGACGTCGGAAGATCTGCCGTCGCGGCGAAATACGCCCGTAGAATCCAACACATCGTCTTCTTCCTACTCTGAGATGGCGGTGACGACAACTCGCAGGGTGGATTACTTCACCAACCTGCCACCAGTGGTCCTGGCGAATATGCGAAAAGCTTCCTCTAGTGATTATCCTCAGTACGCCATCACTGATTGTGGCGATATGAACGTGAAATGTATTTTATGGTCAAATCTTTTAGTTCGAGTGAAACAAGGATGGAGGGAATGTCATTACCGCCTTCGGTATACATTGTGCATTGAAAATATTAACAAGGATATGTTGTCGCTGGGAAGGAGCGGCACCTTTTCGAAACTAACAGTATTGCACACAAGAGATTCGTACTTTAAGGTTGATGTTTTACGGGATGCATATTTTTTCTATCTCAACTTTGAATTTTATAGAATGCTCGAGGGTGCTTCATGTTCGGTGCCTTCTGTACACGTAGCAGTGGGCGACATACCCCAAAAAGATTGTCAGGTCAATTCCTTTATTGAACCTTGTCAATGTGAATATGATGAAGGCTCACTTGCGCACTTTCATTGTACAGTACGCGTAAGACTTGATGAACTTAGCAAAAGCATTTCCTTGCCAAACGGAAAGCAGTTGTTCTTTATCGGGATGCTACATAAGTAAAATGCTCACAGGAAACTCAAATAGCACTTCACTTGTACGGCCATTCCAGTGTATTTTGTTTAATTAACGTCATGTGCAAAAGCGTATTCTCATACGATGGGGCAGCATTGAGCGTAATCTTATAGTACACTGCTCAGGAATGAGTGTGACCAAATCAAAAATTCGCAAAGATTAAGTTTGTGGATAGTTTGTGAAAACAATGTGCCGAAAGTTCATCATATTCTGGGCTAGTGGATCGAGTTTGGCCTGCTATTATTGAAATAATTTGCCCGCACGTTCAATATTTGCATGTGCGTTTATTTATTCACCCTTTGGCAAGGTGATACAAATCCTACATGTATTTGTGGTATGCATGCTTCATTCAAGGTTTAGAAGTTTCGACGTTTGGCTAGCGGGACCTTCGCATGTCATTGTCCCTGTTGGACAGCAATGCTCTGTGGAATATTGTCAACATTGCAAGTAATCTATCATAGGTGATCAAACTGATGACATAAAGCCCATTCTGTTCCTATTCTTTGCCCATGTATCAACAGCTGCGCATTCTACCGATTCAAGAGTTTTATCACAGATTATCCCTCATCACATACAGTCTTATCTATCGTGAAATATGATTAGATAGTATTCTTCACCACGTCCTTGTCAACAAGAATATTACCAGGTTTTCAGAGCAATCTTACTTTGGGTAAAAGTTTTTTTGAAGTATGGCAGATATACAGCTTGCTACTATAGTATTTATGTTTAGATTGTTCTGTGTTGATTGGGTTTTCAACTTGTTGACTTTTTGCTGCTGTTACCTTTTATGTACGCCACTAATTATAGGAGGTCCCCTGACAGTGTCGTACTTTGGGACCTCCTGACTCTGTATGTATCATGTCACCCAATTTTTGTAAACGCAATAATAATGAATATACTTTAATTCAAGTTTAGATTAACTAGAAAATCATGATAGTATTGTAGCAGCAGTCCGTCAGATAATTACTGGATCTAACAAGTATGCGTTCATCACATCTGCTCGTGTGACGTATACTGCCTAATTAAGTATGAAATGATTAACAGGGGCTCACCGATAGTTTCAGCGTCGCTACTGGTTGTAACTTTCTGTGGTTGTAAACAATGGCTGAAAAAAAATTGATTGTAACCTATCGCACTGTATCGACTTCACTTAACGTCTGTGCTATGTTACGTAGTGCTTACAATCGGACGAACATGGGAAGTAAAGAAGCGTACACGGAAAGGGCGCAACGTGTCCGTCCGAGTGTATGCGCAACGTTACATACCATACACATGCACCGACTCACTCAGCAAGGAGTTCTTCACTTGACGTACTGTGACTTGTCACGCTTACCATTCCCTTGGCTCCAAGTTCTTTTCAGAAATACCGTTCAGGATTCGGTGCAATAAAGACGTTTCTTTGAACTTTGTTCTTACTATCCTTTATGCACAGAGCGTTAGACGTGTAAATCATGTTCGATTGCCTTGTTGTTTCTGCGTTGCAGTGATGACAGAAGAATGAAATGTCACCTGTATTGTCTACCTGTATTGTCACCTGTATTGTCCGAGTACGCGTCTCTGGTTTCGATAATTGTCGAAGCTTCAAGAAGCATTCAGGCTCGTTAGCCAGGGAGGGGGGGGGGGGTCGGGTTCCACTCTCTCCCCCCGCACTTTTCATTTGACACTTAAAAGACCATTGATAAGTACGTTCAAGGTCAGCCTGTGATTTACGGACACTATGTTCATTTTGAACTTTTCTGTAAACAACTCAATCATCTGCAAATAGCCGAATAATAAAAATTATACCCACATTAATGTCATTATTATAAATGAGTAATAGAGGCCCCAGCACAGATTTCAGGGTACGCCGGATGTGACTTCAAGAAAATCCGATTTAATGCCATTTAACGCAGCACATTGGTGGCGTTGAAACAAGTAATTTTCTATTCAATTAAGAATATTTTATCTATATTTTGCACTCATAATTTTCCATGAAGCACAGGATGGGGAAACAGTGTCAAAGGCCTTGCTGTAATCGAGAAAAATTCAGCCTGTTTGCCCACCCAAGTCTATTTTTGATGCTAGGTCGTTAAAAAACCCGAGAAGCTGCGTTGTGCTTGAAAAACATTTACGAAAATCGTGTTTTCTTCGTTAATAAATCGTGATGTAATCTTCAATAATCTTGCAGAATATCAATGTGCGCGAAATAGGTCTCTAATTCGCTACGTCTTTCTTGGAACCTCCTTTGTGAGTTGGGACTACATTTGCTACTTTCCAATCTTGTGGCAACCGACCAGTACATAAAGATTTTTCAAAGATTGATAAAGGTAAGTGAAATTGGATGAGCACACTGCTTTAGAACTCTTGGAGAAACGCCATCAGGAACCGCAGTTTTACTCTCATCGAGGTTCTCAAGCAAGACTCAATGCCACAAACACTAATTCCGAGTGGTTGCATAAAAGGAACACTACTATGGGGCAAAAGCGAGCCTAATGTAGACTTAGGGAGAGACTCATTGGAAGCAACTATTTAGGCACGTGGCTTTTTCTATATCCTCAAAGAGTGTGTCTATTGAAAATAGGTTCATTTATTTTAACAGGATCAAACCCACATTTCTTAAAGTATGGCCAGGAAAATTAGGATTTGTTCTGACATTTTCATTTATTCATTTCATCTTCTAATACCTCCTTGTACTTGCGTGTAAGTTTCTGTAACTTTTCGTAATGAACTTCACGTTTTGTTTTTTGTGTGTCTTTCAAACGCCCGCCTTTTTTTCTTAATTATTTTCAGAATACTTTTGGTCACTCATGATTCTTTACGCTTCTTAAGCCTAGCCGAATCATTACTTGGTATAGACTGCTCTGAAAATTCAAGTACCTTATTTTTGAATGCGTTCCACAAGTATTCTACGTCGTGCTCCTCCCCCAAGCACTCAAAAACAGGCAAATAATTGAGAGGTCGTGCGGAAAATCACGCATAGTCGTCGTTATCGAAAAAGATCACTTTTCTACTAGTACACATTTTCACTCCTGGAGTTGTCTAAATTTATGCTACAACCTGACGGTCGCTAATACCTGAAATTGTATGAACATTACTTGCTACATTAGGCGAGTTACGAAAGATAAGATCGAAGGTATGATTAAGTTTCGTGGACGAGAAATCATTTCGGTAGACGAGAAAGTAAACAGAGTACCTTTTGTCGAAGTCGTAAGCTCTGTTCCTTGTGAGCCCACGAGTTTGAGACCCCTGACACATGCCTTATATACCGCGGCGTCTTCGCACAAGTGGAGTGATGGCGTTCTCGTCTGTACAATGAAACTATAACGAAGTATTGGCTATAAAGATGTTAATGAAAAATGGTATTGTAGTAAATAGTGTGAAGAATAACTGTTCTACCGATTTCTCTAAAGATGCAACTTTGTTATTGCGTGTACGTACATCTCGTTCGCTTTGGTACATCTATGGTTGGGCGACGTTACATTAACTACCGCGCCTTTTTACTCGTGGGCGGCTGTGTAATAATACTTTTTAGGCGACAGCCTTAGAGGTAATTTCGCAGAAATGCTGGTGTTTACGTCGTTGGTGTCTAGCGAAGAATCATCTTATGCGGGATTGAAAAAAAATGGCAGCATATCCACGGAGTGAATGATGGGGAGTGGGGCGAAGCATTCGTCCGTCCATGCGTCCGTCTGTGTGACCGTCCATGCGTCCGTCTGTGTGACTGTCCATGCGTCCGTTTGTGCGCCCGTCCCTGCGTTCTTTCATGCATCCGCCCCTGCGTCTGTTTATGCGTCCATCCATGCATCTGTTTGTGTGTCCGTTCGTTCATCTATTCAACACTTCAAGTCCCACCATCTCGCATCTTTTTATCATATATTCCCTATATAGAAGCACCGCAATCCAGCGGACATTCCAAGGACTAAACGAGAGGTGGCACACGCACACTTTCTTACGGCCTGCGCTTTGGGTCCACTTCCCACCTTTAACCACCTCGAGTTCATGGTATATTCTAGTTCACTGTATTCATGGCACTGCGACCAATTTACATGCCAATGGCTGCTAATGAGAAATGAGAGACAGGAGAATTCGGCTTTTACTTTCTTACGGCTTGCGCTTCGTATCTACTTCTCATTTTTAACCACCTTGAGTTCATTCATGGTATATACAAGTTCATTGTATTCATGGCACTGCTGCTCAACGCTCGCTAAACCTTTCTAAAGCTAAGGAGGTTACACCTAGCGAGTATAATGTAGCATCCCTTTCTTGTCCGATAGTGCTCAATGTACATGCCAATGGCTGCTAATGGGGATCGCAGCGTGCGCGTTAACTAAAAGCCGAATGCTCATGTCTCTCATTCCCCATTAGCAGCCATTGGCATGTACATTGAGCACTATTTTTTATTGTTAAACAACGCACAGAAGAAATCTCTCTCTGGCACCACCTTGGAGGTCAAGTGTTATACCTATCTCGGGTATGTGCCACTGGTGGTTACATACGAGGGACGCCCAAGCCACGCCATAAGGAGCTTCGCCCCTAAAATTCGGAATGATGTGAATGAAATAAATGGTGAAATGAATGCTGGGTCAGAGTTGGGACCGAACCAGGGCCGGTTTTGAAT